GTGAAAGTGCAGGGTGAAAACAAGATATCAAGGACAGCACTCAGGATTTTGCTGTGAGATCATCTGAGGTCTGATTTTCTTAGGCTGGTTTGACCCATTTACTTGGCTCACCCACAGAAGCGCCTGTGTTGCTATACCTCATAGCCAGTCTGACCTTTACTCTTCCATTTCCCTACCCAGTGCATTGTGAGCGTGGCTGGCGGAGCCACTCGGGCTGCACTGACCATGCACCAGGCCCGGAGAAACAACATGGCTGATGTGTCAGCCAAGGATAGCAGCCAGGTGAGCAGCTGGAATTGGAGGATGGTGTGAGGGAGGATGAGAGGGTATCAGGCCAGGTCACCATTTGGGAGTGGAAAGAAGCACCTGAGTGCTCCTGAGAGTAGGGGTGGGAAACACAGAAAGAAATGTAGGTGCTCCGTGCTCTGACTTTCAGGATAGGTAGTCAGGTGTGAGGGCACAGGCTCTGGTGGCAGCAAGTCCAAGCCATTCATCTCAGCCTGTGCACATTGCCCATGTGGCAGAGAATGGGCCCTTGCCCTCACCCCTTCTAGGCACTGGCCCCACCCTGGGAGGGGGATATTCTGATCACATGGGGCCCCACATGTTAAAGCACTCAGTAAGTCAAAAAGTGTTCGGCATGTGAGGTGGCTGGTGTCACTGGCTAGAGGCTTCCAGCCAATTGGCAGTTTTAGCAGGCCCTTCTGGCCCAGCCCCTCACTTGATCAAGGGATCCTGGAATAGTGGTGTCTCACCACCCCTAGAGGCTGAACCCTATGTTCAGTGGTATGTGCGTTGCATCGTTTAACTCACACACCAACCCTATGACGTAGATATTATCCCTGTTTTACAGATGGAGAAAGTGAGGTCATAAGTGTGACATAATTGACACCAAAGCAATTTAGAGACCTCTCTTGTGTCCAGTCCTATTTTTTGTCCTTCTCTTACATTGTTTTGCTAGGTTTCTAAATAGAACTTCATTTTTTCTAAAAAATTAAGACTACTTTTAATAATATTAACACAGGTTGTTATGATATATTAACCATATGCCAATTATTTTATTTGTATGAACTCATTAAATCCCTATAGTCGTCTTGTAGAAGAGGTACTCATTGTTGGCCATCCTACACATGAGGAAATAAGGCATAGAGTGGTTCAGTTTCCCTGGGTCCCCTTGGACACATCCCTTCTCTCAGGAGCTGGTTGGACTAGTTCTTCCCCATTATCTCTCCTGTAGGTTGTTAGAGAAGGAGAAATTAGTACAACCCAGGCCATGCTCTTTAGGGTCTCAGCTTCATGCCTGCTCTCTCACCTACTGTCTTTCTAACCCCTCAGCCCTCCCTAGCCCCAAGCTTCCTCCACAGAGGCAGTAACACATCATAGGGGCAACCTGGGATATATGTTCAGTCCTACAGCAGAACCCTGCTTTCTGCTGATGTTGCTTTGTTACCACTTAATGTGGTTGCTGGAAATGACTGTTCCTACCTAGGGAAGAGGAGTCCCTCTGCTCCTGAGCAACTAAGGCTTTTGATCCCAGTTTACTGTCATTCCCACAGCCTTTATTTCCACAGCCCACCTTCTGTGCCAGGACCAACTCTCCTAGGGGCACCGATCCAGACTCCTCCTCCTTCCTCAAGATTAGTTGGGGGCAGGCAGCCTAGGGTCCTTTTCCCCTAGAGTGAGCTCAGTCAGGCCATCTCAGGCCAATAGAGGCATCTAATAAACATTGATTCTCAAGAGAAGAGGTTTTGATACTGTGCCTTTCTTCCTAGACCATTCCTTGACCTCTTTGCAAAAATGTCTGCCAGTTACTGCATACCACGGGGCTAGGGGGAGATGAGCCTTTTTAAAACACCAAATAAAAATACTTCCCCACTCCGTAGACATTTACTTGCCTGAGCATAGCGCTATTCAGGTGACTTGGAAGCAAAGAAGACATACTTCAAGGGCATTTTATCTACCTGGACTGAGAAGCAGCTGGTATCTTTTAGCTCACTCACTAAAAATTTTTTAAATTTACTAGGCACCCTCGTCAGTATAGGGAACCCTAGGAAGTTTGGGGGCAGGGAGGGAATGTTGTGAAAGGCACTCAAGGATATTTAGTCTGGCCTGGAGGGGAGTCCTCCAACTCTCAACCCCTTTACCATTTTCCAGGAGACATTGGTAAACCTGGCAGGGCTCCTGGTAAGCCTCTTGATGCTTCCCCTGGTGTCAGAGTGCCCTAGGTAAGCCGAGAGCAAGCATGGGGCTGAGGTGCCCAGGTGGGCCTCTGCCCTTGTTGACCACTCACTCTCTCACTCCAGCTTCAGCCTTGGTTGTTTCTTCCTCCTCACTGCCCTCCACATCTATGCCAACTACCGGGCAGTCCGAGCCCTTGTCATAGAGACTTTAAATGAAGGCCGGCTCTGGTTGGTTCTGAAGCACTTTCTTCAGAGTGGAGAGGTACTTGACCCCACTTCAGCCAATAAGATGGAACCACTGTGGACAGGTGACCTAACCCCTTGGTCTCAAGTCCTATATCTCCCAGTCTGTCCCCCACCTGGGATTCCTGACTCCCAACTTCCCACAGGTTTCTGGCCATCTCCATCTCTATTCCTGGGAGTCCCCCTACATCGCTTGATCTCCCGGTAAGTAACCCAGTGTCTCCCACTCATCACTACTACCCCCTACTCCCCACATGTGCCTTATTCCAATTATACACTGTCCTCCCTTGACCAGGCCACGTCTCTCTAGGTTATTTCCACTGAACAGAAGGTCAGCACGAGTGCTTGAGGGCAGCAGGGTGTGTAACAGTGTAGATAAAAAGGATATATTTGTTAGATGAAGGAAGAATGGGTGAATGGGGCAAATGGATCACTAGATGCTAGAAGAAAGTAAGGATGGCTGTGAGGTATGTGGGTAATGGCTAAGGGATAGATGGGAAGTGGGTGAATGACAGACAAAGGTTGGACAGTTAGGGTTAACAGATGCCTGTTCATTTGACTAGATGGGATGGTTACTCCTGCCTTTGCTTTCTCCTCCCCCATTCCACTCTTCTTTCCTTAAGTGTCTTTGAGCTACAGCAACTGATTGAGGGACACCAAGAACCTTACCTTCTTCACTGGGACCAGTCACAAAGTAAGTGTGTCGTGTTCTCCCAGCCTTGGACTCACTCTCCTGGGGTCAGCCTCTCATTCCTCTGGCTCCAGGACCACAAGCCCTGGACAGGCCGTGGACTGTGTGGAGTCTGCCTGGTGTCCTGGAGGGAGCTCGAGACTAAGACGTGATGTATTCAAATTATAGCTGCATTCCCCAATGAAATTCACCTTACCGCTTTATAAAATGGAGCTAATAAAACCTGCCTTATTACCTGCAGTGTTTTTTTGAGGATCAGATAAGGTGATTATGTAAAAGCACTTTGCACATTGCAACACGCTTAAATAAGATCATGACCTTTGGTTATCTCAAGGAAACCACTTTTCCATCTGGGGTCATCTTTTGAGGAAAAAAGTACAAGAGTTTATTGATCTACTGATAGTGTGTTAAAAGGTGCTTATTCTTACTAGCCATTAAAGACATACAAAATAAACTCACCTTAGTGAGCTGCTGTGAAGTTATATTGGGAAATTGGGCATTTCCATTTGGTCAGAGCATTGGGGACCAACAGGAGATAAAGTTGGAAAAGAAAGGGTGACAGATGGCCTTCCGTGCCAGGTCAAGGCCTCTGGGGGTAGACAGGGATGAAGCAGGGTGATAGGGTTGAAAGTATTTGGGGAGGTGGCCCTCCCTATTACCAGTCTGTGCTTGGGTCTCCAGACCAGGTACAGGTTGTTTTGAGCCAGATGGCAGGCACTGAGACCATCCTAAGAGCTGCCACACACGGGCTGGTACTTGGAGCCCTACAGGAAGATGGGCCCCTCCCAGCAGAACTGGAGAAACTGAGGAACCGAGTACGGGCAGGTAAGAGCTTCACAATCTAGACTACTGATGACTCAGAGTGGGGTGGAGAGAGGATGGACTCTGTGGCTTGGGGACCCAAGAGCTCCTGGTTTTGCACCCTACTCTAGGTCCTGAGAAAGAGAGCTGGGTCATTGTCAAGGAGACACACCAAGTGTTGGACAAGCTATTCCCAAAGTTCTTAAAAGGTAATATCCTTCAGACCCCTTGGCCTCTGATGCCTTCTCCCCAGGTTCCCTGCCTACCTCTGTCCCCTCCCCTCCACCTGGGAGGTGGCAGATCTGGGTTCTCTTTGAGCTTAAGTCTGGTCCTCAGTTTCCCTGTCTGCAAGATAGAGAGGTTAGGATGGTCCCTGAGGCTGTGTCAGTGTTGACAGTCTATAATCCCAGTTGGTACTGAAGAACTGGGAGTGAGGGGAGGCTCACAAATAACTAATGCTAATCTATTTAGCACCTACTCCATTCCAGCTCTTTTCCATGTGCTGGCTCAATGAATTCTTGCTGCAACCAGATGAGGTTTTAGCCTCATTTTATGCCAGAGATCACCCAGCAGAGGCAAGGGGAGCCTGAGCAGGACACAAAGCCTGCATCCAGCCTGTGCTGCTCTTGACCCCCCATCCCAGAGTCAGCCCAGACTCTCCTCCCCAGCAGTCTCAGTAGTACTAGTACCCCCATAACCTCTCTCCAGGACTGCAGGATGTGGGCTGGAAGACTGAGAAGCACCAGCTAGAGGTGGATGAATGGAGGGCCACATGGCTCCTGTCTCCAGAAAAGAAGGTCTTGTGAGCAGCCCAGACGGAGGCCCAGGTCTCAGGACAGAAGCCTGAAGCAAAACTACTTTGGCTACAGCAGGAAGTGGGAAAAGGCAGCTTTATTTTTGCTCAGGAGAATTGCTCTGGCAGGTTAGCCAAGGCCTTACAGGAAGTAACTGCCAGTCAGGTGAACTAGGCTATAGGGAGAAACAAGGTAGAGAAAAAAACCAGGGCCTTCCTCCTTCCCCTCCTGCCCCACTCCCTTCTCACCACTGCAGGTTCCCCACCCCCACTCATTGTGAGGCTGAGCCCTGCCCTGGCTGTGGCTCCTGGTGTCTAACACAGTTGGCCTCAGGCATAAAAGCCCCAGAGGAATGTGGCCACAGCCATCATGAGCAAGGCATTGAGGTTGACCACACGGGCCCAGCTCGGGTCCTCACTGATGTCCTCCAGCCGCCTTGCCGTTGCAGCAACCTCCTCCTGGGTAGGGGGTGGGGAACTACCCGCCCTACCCCTACTCATTCCACAGAACCAGAGCAGGCACTGGCAGGACAGGCCTGGTGCTGGGGACTGGGGCTCTGGGAAAAATTGAGGCCCTACAGTTAGTTTGAGGGAACTTGGCTTCCCCAGCTCCCTAGCCCCAACCTCCTGGGGCAGCACCTTACCCTCCATCTCCACTGCATGTTCGGGGTGCCCATTCTGTATAGGGGGTGAGGTTAGACCTTCTAGTTCATCAGCATCCAGGTCTTCCCTCTCTTCCTTGCTGTGCCGGAGACTGAAAACCAGGCGGTGGAGCTGGAGAAAGGCGGGAGCAGGGACCAAGTGGGAGTTCTGTTCCCTCACCCCAGACCCTGAGGTCTCTTGTCCATCCTGATACATCCTAGCCGCCTTCTGTCCAGCCTGTACACCTAGCCCAGCCTTAACTCAAACCTGACCTTCCATGGCTGCCCTTGGCCCTTAGGCTAAACCCAAGCTCCTCAGCTGGGTGTACAAAGCTCTTGGCCCTGCTTCATCAACCCAAGTCTCCTGTCTGCACTCAAAACTGTAGTATTTTAAACTCTAGTCTTAGAATCCTGCTAACACGTGTTCCTTCCTGTGAGTATTTGCTCACACTGTTTTCCTTTTGTTGCCTTTTACCTCACTCTCCACCTGTGGAATCCTGCCAATCCTTTATCCTGCCCCCGCGTTAGCCCTGCGCTTGGGGTATCTACCCTGCATCAGCACAAGACAAAATCCCTTTGTGGGCTTTCAAGATAGTACTGTGTCCCTCTCAGCCACCAATCAGATCCTGTGTGTTGAGTCCCAAAGACCATGCCAAGGACTTTGGGGATTTTAATCACTTCCCCTCCGATCTTCACGCTACCTCCCCCAAACCACTTCAAATAAATGTTAACTAAAGCACTGCTTGCTTTGCAAATGCAACTTGAAACTGGGCTCCCAGCCTGCCTTCACAAGCCTTCCACAGAGAAAACCAAGTCCTTTCCACTGGGTGTTCCAAGAAGTGGACCAGCACACGGGTTGGAGAGGGCTACACTGACCCACCTAGTTCATGTTTGGGTGTCCATCCAGAGGCTGGCACTTACATGCTTGCGTGGAATGGGTGCTGTGCACAGTGAGACTACAAGGGTGAGGAGGCCAGAGCAGACAAAGAGTACAATGGCAAAGTAGAGGTAATGCACACCACAGAGGAGTGCCGGACATGCCGAGGGTCTAACACAGCTGCCGGAGCCAAAAGAGAACTCAGGAATGAGGCGCGCCAGACCCATCAGCAGGCCCCCAATCAGTCCCCAGAAGGCACCCTGCAGAGATAGAGGACATTAGTCTTCTCTGGATGCCTGAGCCCTGCACCGGGCTCACAACTACACTCATACTCACCTTCTCATTGACACGGGGCACAAACAGCGCTAGCACAAAGACTGCGGACACAGGCGGCGCCAGGTAGCTAGATACTGCCTGCATATAGTCAAAGAGCTGCCCACCCTGTGCCGCCTGCACAACAGGTAGCCAGGCCACCGACACAGCCACAATGAACACCACCCAGATCCTGCAGTGGGCAAAGATTTCACCCAGGATCCCCGTCTTTCCCTCACACTACAAGTGCTCCATGCCCCCCACCCTTGGGTGATTCACAGGGCGGTAGGTGAGGGGAAACCCAGGCCGCACCGTCCTACTAGCAGCAGCTCACGGTCGCTTGCACGGGGTCGCAGGCGTGTGTAGATGTCCATGGTGAAAAGTGTGCTGCTGCTGTTAAAGATTGAGGCCAGGGAGGACATGAGCGCAGCCAGCATGACTGCCAGCATGAGCCCGCGCAGACCTGTGGGCCAATGATAGCCGTGAGTCCCGGACCATCAGGATGTCCCAGGAGGATGCGGGCTTGGTGATGGGTGGTTACCCCTGGCAGCAGTCTCCACTGCGTGCCCACGTATGCAGGCAGAGTGCCATCCCTCACCATTGGGCATGAGCTTCACGACGAGCCGCGGGTAGGCGATGTTGGAGCAGCCCACTTCAGTGCCACACACGCGCTTACACACCTCGGGTACCACGCACGCCACCTCGTCTGCGGAAAGGGCACGACACAGCTAGATTACCTGAGGAACTTGGATCCTTGTAGTGGGTATTGGGAATCCTAATAGAAGCGAGATGGAATCCTCGGTGGGAGGTAAGGCTGGGTGACCGGATTCCCAAATCTTAAGACAGTAACGAAAATGGGAGGGAGGCACGTGGATCCCTACACAAGAAAGGGTCTGGATGGGGCACAGGACTCTTGGTCGGGGCAGGGGTGCAGACGTTACCCGGGTAAAGAATGCGGCTGATCATGCCTGGCATGACCATGAGGAACATGGGCATCAGCTTCAAATAGCCGCACAGGATGCAGCCCGCCTTGATGTGGGTCAGGCTCTTCCCCGCTAGGCAGCGCTGTACAATGACCTGTGACGAGGGGTGTTCAGCAGCGTCCGGTCCCGGATACCCCGCCCTCTCAGGCCTTGCCTCAACTAGCTGTTCTAATTCAGGGCCTTCCTGGCTCTGCGTTGCAGCAAGTCGGTTCCACACATACCCCCAGCCGGTTGAATCCGGCTCCCTCGGATTTAGCTCCACCTTGATTCAGTGCCCGCTCCCTCAGACCACGCCTTCGACCAACTCCACCAAGTGGTTTCAGGCTCCGCCCACCTCAGCCCCGCCCACAGCTGTTTTGGTTCCGCCCCAGCCTCTTCCCACTCAAGCCTTGACCACGGACCTGGTCGCTGCACCAGTACCAGCCCGAGACGATGGTTAGCCCCAGGAGCAGCGCGGGCCACGGCAGGTCCCCCGTCACAGGGTCCCGGAGCAGATGGTAGGAGTCGGGCCGGGGTTGATAGCAGGAGCTGGAGATATTGCCCACGGCCGGATCTTCGGACACCGTCAGCGACGTCATTGCCCCCAAGTATTTGTCGAAAAGCCCTGAATATCCGCCCACCTCGTGGAAGCCTGTGTGGGCAGGGCCGTCAGGGGACCTGGCACCCGCGCCGAGACCCTCCCTACAACCCACACGCCTGAGACACTCGATGTCCCAGCTCCCTGAGTGAGAGCCCTGTGACCTCCGCATCCCTCCACCAATGAGCATACCGTAACCCATGAGGATGAAGGCCCCCCCGAGAATGACGAAGGTCTGCACAGTATCCGTGTACATCAGCGCTGCCAGCCCTCCTGCAACAGGCTTAGGTCAGTGGGGACAGCCCAGACAGCCTAATACAGACGGTGTCTTTGTTCTAATGTGAAAAAGGGGCCCTCTCCTGGAGAACAAATTTCAAAAGGATGGCCCGTTCTCTGGACCCATGCACTCGGGCAGCAGGAGGAAAGACTTGGTGAGTAGAGTATGGCTGAGTAACGCTCCTAGCACACCTCCCGAGCGCGCTCCCTTCCCTAAGCCCTTGCCACGGCCACCTGTCACAGTGTAGATCATAGTGATGCCCAGGAGCGCGATGACGGAGGCATAAATGTTCCATCCTAGAGCCTGTTGAATGAATACCGCTCCAGAGAACATGTCCACCTTGGGGGAAGGAGCGACCACGCAGGTCAGGACTCAGGGGCCAGAGCAAGGACCCAAGTTCACCTGCCCAGACCACAACCCTGTGTGGCCACGCCTGAAAGATTCTCTCATTTTCGATGGCCTGGCCTTCTCAGGACCCATCCACTATGGCTGCCCCAGAAACTGATGCCTTCCATGCCCTGCCTCTGTCATGATCTTACATCTACCTCTATTTGGTCCCGCCCTTTCTAAGGCTTTCTAGAGACCTCTACTCCGTGGTACCGCCCTTCCAGGGTCTTGTCCCACCCACTGCGCGTGCTCACCGAAATCTTGGTGAAGATGTACAGAAAAAGCGAGAGCACGGACAGGTAGAGGCGGATGCGATGGCCACCGAAGCGCTTGCGCAGGTACTGCGGCATCGTAATTACGCCCGCGGTCAGGTACACTGGAGCGAAGAGCCAGCCAAGTAGAAGCACCACAAACAGCGCCTGCAGGCACAGCGTGAGAGCCTAGGGTGACTGACTCCCTGTCTGTGATCCTGCCATGAGCTCATCCTCCCCCGAAAGATGTGACCTACCCTAAAGGCAAGGTCACATCTGGGGCCTAGGGGACACAAATGCAGACAATGTCCCTGGGACTTTGGCATTAAGAGACAGGTTCCCGACACCTTCTTGGGCCCTAAACTAGAGCTATCCTTGCCCTCCCAGGACATGACCTCTGGACAGTCCCTCCCAAAATGGTTTCTACCCCACTGCAGCTCCCCACTCCAAGCACATGAATCCAAGCACAGACCCCTCAGCCTGACCCAAGCCTCAGCCAGAAAGGGCTGCTTCCTCTCTCCTCTCCACCCACCAAAACTCTGAAGGCTCAGTTCAGAGGCCTCCTCCTTCAGGGAGCCCTGAGCTCAATGCTCTGATCTCTCCAGCCCTTCAAGGCAAGCCTCAGTCCCAGAGCTTTGTCTCTCTTCCACTTCTGCAAGGAACTTTAATTTGGCTGAGATCCTCACAGGCCACAGCTTCAAAGAATATCAGAACAAGCACTTTACTGTCTTTGAGGCTGGTCACCCCCACTTTAGAGAGTAGTAAATCAAGGCCACAGAAGGGTAGTGGCTGGTCCAAGCTCACAGAGCAAGTTAGGAGCAAGACCTACCCCTGCCCTAAAAGTGGTCAATCCCTACATCCCCCTGCCTCCATTGTGGACATGCAACCTTAACTTGAAGCCCAGCCCCACCCCCCAACTGGAAAGTCCCACATCCAGTCTCACATCCCATCTGTCTAGACCCTCCCCAGGTGTGACCTTTCCAGGGGTTCCCACTGGGGATGGGGATTATTGACAAAAAGGGAGCCTCACGTTCCACTCAAATCCAGCCACAGCCAAGCCGCTTGCAGCACCAGTCCCTGCCAGGCCCACAAAGTGGCCGCTGCCGATATTGCTGGCAAAGAGAGAGGCCCCGACCTGGGTGGCCAGAAGTGTGGGTGAGCCAGATTGCTTCTCCAGGGCCCCTCCAGATCCCCTCCCATTCTACTGCCCAGATTTTCTCACCGGCCACCACACCATGCTTCGTCCAGCCAGGAAGTAGCCACCCACAGTGCCTCTGTTGGTTCTGCGCATGGACTGGGGGACAGGAGTTGGAGAAGACCTGGGTGCAGGGCATGTCTTTGGACCTCATTAGCCTCCTGAACACATTCTTTAGCCTTGTTTCAGGCTTAAGATTAACCAGCGCTCAGCTCCTCTGATAGCTCTCACCCCACCCCCACTACCTCTTTCCCAGGCACCCAGAAGGACCCAGGCCCTAACCTGTGTCCAACCACCCAAGTCTGATTGCAGCTGGATTTGGCCTGACTCTCCTGGGGGCCTTGGATCAGATCTATGAGCTTCTTATCAGCCGCAATGTAAATAGGGGAACAGAAACCTCATTTAGAATGTTGCCCCTGAGAAAATACTAGCCCAATCCAAAGGTGGGAAGACCAAAGATTGAGTGTTGCCTAGGTCTCTCTGAGGCTATCAAGGCTTGTTTGCCCCCTAGACCCTAGTTTCTTCCTCAAAGATCAAGGCATCCTGCCCCTATTGCCACTTAGGGCCTCCTTTTTCCCCCAGACCCCAGAAACTTGGCCCCAGCAGTGGCCCCTCGACTTTCTTACCCACAAGCCAACACCAATGACCAGCAGGAAATAAGCAGCAATGACCAGGATGTCAGCAGGGTTGTCGATTAGGACCCTCTGATCCCCCAACCCTGGTGCCAAGCCTGCCTCTGTGTGTTCCTCCATTCTGTCCAGGATCTGCCCCTCAATGTACCAATCCCTGTATTCTCCCAGGGGAGCGATTAATGGTTACCTCAGGGGCAGTGAGCTGACAAATCCCCCAAGCCTCGTCCCCCCTCCCTGGCTTTGTTTAGCTGAATCAGGTAACATCAAGGCCCAAGGCTGGCCGTGGGGAGGTGGACCCTTTCAAGTTCAGGAGCACTCCTTCCTGCACTTTAGTCCCTACCCTTTTCCTAGTGCCTCAGGCTCAAAATCACTTCTTTCACCCCCTAAAAATGCCTACCTTTCAGCCTCCACCTAGGGAGCCTGGCTGAGCTAGCCCCCTAGTTCTGACTAGGGGATCATTTTCAAACCCAAATCTGACACTGTTACTACCCTCCATAGCTCGCTATCACACTCAGGAGCAAGTAGAAGCTCCTCAGCCTGATGTTCAAGGCCCGACATGCCTCAGCTTCTGCCCACCCTTTTCCTCGCTTCTCCATACCCAATATAGAGTTTCTTTCCATTTCCTTTCCACTCCCTTGCCTTGCCAAACCCCTATATTTTCACACCCCCAAAGTGTTGCATAAAATTTTGCCTTCTTCTTAGAGTCTCTCTGCCTCCCACGTGGCCAATTCCTACTCAGCCTTCAGTACCCAGCTGGTGTCACCTCTTCAAGAAAGATTTCTCTGACTTTTCTGATATGGTTCTGAGCACATTGTATGGTCCTTATCTGGGATCAGGTCTGTCTCCCCAACAGACTAGAAACTCCCCAAGAGCAGGAAATAATCTGATTCATCCCAGTCTCATTGTTCAGCACAGGGCTGGATACAAGAAGAGAGGGAATTGATAAATAGCTGTACCGCAGCCTTTCTTCTAGAATTGACCAGACTTGAATGTCTGACTATGGCAGCTGGGTTCGAGCCTGAGATGGGGAAGAGAGAATAATATTTAGGGGAATATAATGAGTTATGTCTAAAGAGTGCCTTAGTTTGAGTTCCTTCCAAAGCAGACCCTAACATGGGAATCGGAGTGCAAGGACTTGACTGGGGAGATGATCCCAGTAAGGATCGTGAGAAGTGGGGAAGTGAGACAAAGAAAGGAAAAAAGCCAATAAAGGGTGTATCGACTGATAGGTTACCACTGTAAATAATTGGAACCCAAACCCAATGGGGACCTTCTGAGACTCTGTGGAGAACACACCTCACAAATGACCCCCAAGGAACCAGAAAGCTGGGATGTGTGTTTACTAATTCCTGTCTCTAACTGGTTAAAGGTTACAGAAACTCCCATCCACTTTGGACCTGCTGGGTACAGGAGCACACTCCTTCCCTCAGAATACTAAGGAAGCATCTGGGGAGACTGGGTATCTGGGCACTGTCTACCTATGACTTCCCATGTGAGCCAAGCAAATATGGGCAGGGCACCCACAATGTGTGCTTCAGGAAGTGATGAATTTAAAGTGCCTAAGAGAAATCCAGGAATCAGTATCAGAGGACAATTAAGAGTTATAGACACTTAAAATTTATATGCCCTCACTGTAGCCTGTGAAGCCCTTTGTGATGTGGCACCTATTTTCTTGTTAACTTCATCTCCTGCTACCCTCCCCCTTGCTCACTCTAGTGCAACCACACTGGCCTTTCCTTTCTTCTAGTATGCCAAGCTCTTCTCACCTCCTGGTCTTGTATTTGCTGTTTCCTCTGCCTGGAATGCTCTCCTCAGCCTCTTTGCCTGGTTGGTTCTTTCTCAATCTTCAAATCTCAGCTTAGACATTACATTTTCACAGATGCCTTCCCTGATTATCTGGTTAAAGTAACCCCTTCCCCACCTTCTCTAACTTAGTTCTCTATTTTTTTTTTCTTCTCATTTTCCCACCTTCCCTTCCTAGTTCTTTCCTTCATTAACAAACATTTATCGAGCACTTACCACATGCTGGATATCCTTCTAGACACTAGAGAGACAGTGTCATCTGACAACATGTTATCTGGCAAATAAGCTCTCAGGAGCTCGTATTCCAGTTTCAGAAACAGACATAAACAAGCAACAAATAAACATGTATTTGCAATGATAAATGCTAAGAAATAAGGAGATGCTGTGGATAGAAACAAGGGAGATGAGCCAACTGTATCTAGGAAGTCTTATTACTTCATCACACCTGTCACTTGTGTACTTGTTTCCCATCTGTATCTCCTACTAAACTTCAGCTCCATGAAAGAGCATGTCTGCTTGGTTCCCTAGGGTCTCCCCAGCACCTGGTATGGAGCCGGGGACAGTAAGTGTTCAATAAAAACTTGGTGAATGAATGAATCGAGACTGGAGATGGCCAATTTGGATATCCTCAAGACAGGGCAGTGTTTACAAGCCAGGGGATGGACAGCATTGCCAAGGGAGACTATGTGGAAGGGGAAGAGCAGGAGGCCTGGGAAGATCCGAGGAGCTTCAGAGGAAAGGGTCTGGGGGTCTGCTTGAGACAAGGGCAGATCATACCTCACCTGTCTCTTGTCCACACACGCTCCCTCCCTAGGAAAACTGCAGGGTCCAAAGTGAAGGTTCTAGGGCTCAGAACAGCCTCTGGGGTTTGGGAATTCAGATGGAGCCTGAACTCCACACTAAAAATCCCTGGCCCTACCCTTCCTTCTCTGCTGTGGCTTAGCTCAGGTGTCGCCTCCTCCAGGAAGCCTTCATTGACTATCGGTCTGAGTTAGAAGCCTCCTTCTGGCTACTTCAGCTCCCTGTGCTTCCCTCAGTCACTGCCCTGACCACACCAAGTGTCACGCTTTGCCTAGGGGAGATAATTATGAGTCAATACTAGTAAGAGGAAAGCTGTGCCTCAGTGCCCAGACCCAAAGGGTGGACACACATTGGCACTTCTGGAAGAGGCCCCAGGGAAAAGAATTCTGGAAACCAGACAAGATGGCAGAGATGGGGGAAACTGGAAAGGGGACAGATTAAATGCTTATTTCAAGAATATAGAGAGCAAAAGAAGAAGGGGGCGTGGGAGCGGGAAGGTTCTATGCATCCCAGCATGAGCTCCTGTCTTGGCTCTGCCATAATCTATACAATCCTATTATGGTCACAGCCCTTTCCAGTGTCAGGTTCATATTCATATGATGTATGAAGGACAGCCTGTAAAGCTGAGCCTGGAGGTCCCGCTCCAGTCACAGGGTGGTGGCCTCGGACCTGCTACAGAAAAGGACCGCACAAAGTATGGGTGTCACAACAAGGCTCTCCAGTGAAGAGACACAGCACCAGTGTGAAACGGACTATGTGTTTATGCAGGTAGAAAAAAGTGCACAGAGCAGTGAAGGAGCGGGGAGGGCACATCCTGGCCTGACTTCTTCAATTGGAACTGCAAGGGCCCTCCTGCAGTCAGGGGGCTATCTCAAGGGTGGGAATAAAGTGAAGGACTCACGCGCTGCTCATCAGTGTACAACCCACACTGGGGGCATGTGGCCTTGGGATTGGCCGGGCCTTTTCGGAACTTGCCCACTGAGAATTTAGAATAAGGAACCTCAGGAGCAGGTCTCTCCAGAGGGAGGGGCCTCACAGGGCGGGGCTGAGGAGAGCCCCAAGCTCAAAGAGCAAGGCCTTAGAGTCTGGAGAGGGAGATCTCTTGGGTCAGGGCGGGGTCTCTGGGGCCGTGGTCCCACCCCCACTGGGGAGGGGTGGGGCGAGCCCTCGCAGGCAGTCAGCCGAAGAGCTTGAGGAAGCAGGGCTGGCAGTACGGCTTGCCGGCACGCTCTTGGAAGGAGCCCTTGGTGAGCGCGCGCAGGCAGAAGGTGCAGGTGAAGTGGTCCGGGTGGAAGCGACGGCCCAGGGCTGAGACACAGCGGCCGGTCACAGGGAGGCCACATGTAGCGCACAGCGAACCACGCCTCTCGTGGAAATGGTTCTCGCACAGCGGGCGGCCCTCGTGCTCGAAAAAGCTGCCTGCTGAGAAGGGCGCGAAGCATTCCTGGGGAAGGGCCACCGTGACAGGATGGGTCAGCCTCCAAACCGCCCCCCCTCCCCGCCCCGACCCACTTTATGAGCTAAATAACCTTCTTTATGAGCTAAATAACCTTCTTTCTCCTGTGACTCCCGCAGTCCCACCCCAGCTGTGAAGCCTTGCTGTCAGGAGCACTCTGTCCGGGATAATCCGCCCACCTTGGGTTCCTAGTCCCACCCCCGCAAATTACTCATGCCCCAGGCCCCGCCCCCACAGAGCGCACCCTGCAGACGAAACAGTCTGGGTGCCAGAGTGCACTGAGCGCCGAAATGTAGTTATCCAGGATGGGGCCTTGGCAGCCCTGGCAGCGTGGAGCGAACAGCTGCAGGAAGTCCTGGCGGCAGTACGGGCGGCCCTCGCGCTCATGGAAACCTAGGGGCAGAAACGAAGTGGGTGGAAAAAAAGGGTGCAGGGCCGCACTGGAGACCTACAAGGTGGGAGACTGTGGGGCCAGAGGAGGGGCAGTCAGAGTGAGCAGTTACGGGAGGGACAGGGTATGGGATAGGGACAGAGCGGGAGGGGATGGGATGAGAACTCACGGGTGGGAGTTACGGCCAGAAGAGAGCAGGAGAAAATTCATAGCATCAAGGACTAAGGAGGTCAATAGCAGGCTGAGCCAAAGTGGGGCAAGGTAGGAAGTCCAGCGGACCTATGGCTTTCAAAGTAGGAATCAAGCTCACCCTCATCTCCGAAGGGCTCCCCGCAACTGACGCAACAGAAGTGCTCTGGGTGCCAGTGAGTGCCCAAGGCAGTAACCATCTTCTGTGAGGAATGAAAGTGGATACTCAGTGTGACCTTCCACCCCTTCTTTCCTTCCTTTCCTACAATTCAACCTAGGTGAGTGGGTTGAAGTATGAGTTTGAGGTGCTGGAGACCTGAGGAGTAGCTCGGGAGTCAAAGAGAGAAGGAGGAGTCCAAAGGGCCATGGATGAGGCCAAGAGGCAGGGCTGGAGGCAAGGGACCATGAGTAGATCAAGCCCATCTCACAGATTCCTTGGGTAACACAGTACTGGGGTTTGTGGGCCAGGCAGGGCTCACATGTCTGATGGGTTGATTGCAGAGGCCACATCGTGGGGAGAAGCGCTGGAAGTAGCACTCAGGGCAGAAGGGGGCTCCATCCTTCTCGAAGAAGCTGCTGCCTCCCAGGGCAACGGAACAGCCACTACAAACGAAGTGCTCAGGGTGCCAAGCACGCCCCAGCGCTGTCACCACCTGGGAGTTAGGAGTGAGGCCCAGGTCAGAGTGGCCCTAGGACTACCGTGTGCCCAGTGAGCTAAGGTTTACATGGCACTTTTCAAGTCTCATCTCTGAGAGATCAGGATGAAAAATTTACTGTTCAAATCACTCAGTCTGTAAGTGATGGAGATTCAACCCAGGTTTTCCAGCACAGTGCCTACAATACTTTTAGGGGCCTAAAAATGTTGTAATTTCTTTTAAAATCAGGAGAAAAAAATGAGCTAGAAAAAATGATTTCATATATAATGTATTCATCTTTATACTAACACAGTCATAAAATACAATTTTAATATATATTTTTTTAATGGAGGAAGAGACCCACAAAGGCAAAAGTGCCTAGGGCCCAAGAAAGTCATAATGCCACCTTGCTTTGCTGAGATTGGAAATTCTGGGATGGGAGTAGGGCACTTTATCTATCAAGAGGATCTAGGTCAACCACTGGGCACAATTGTCAATAATATCTGCTCGGTCAATAAACCAAGAACCAGAGCTCCCAAACTAGACTCTGGTGGAGGAAAAGCAGTCTTGTGGTGGGTGGAGCAAACTAGGCTTTTGTAAAGATTAAATGAGATGGGGATTGTAGAGAAGCTAGTAGCACAGTGCCTGGCACATAGGGGGAACCACAATAAATGGTAACTGGGTTGGAATTCTCACTCTGCCACTTATTTGCTGTGTGACTCAGTTTCCTCATCCATAAAATATGAATAACAATAATACCCACTTTCCAGGATTATTTATTAAAAGGGAACAGCACAAAGGCTAGCTCTCAGTGAAGATGGGTCTATGGATCTCTACCTCCCTATTTACATGGCTCCACTTACTTGTCCAGCAATATGTTTATTGCAGGAGCCACAGAGGCCCTTTGCCTGGGTGGGAATGCCACGGCGGGTTAGGTCGGACTGCAGCAGCCCCAGCATGGTGTCTAGGCTGCCCTTGCCAGTAGGCCCTGGTGGGGATGGGGAGCCCTCATTCGTGGAACTTGGCACTGGTGGCTGGGTTGGCCCAGAAGCTGGAAGCTGCAGCAGGGAGAACATGTGAGTTGAGTCAGCAGATATGGAAAGGTCTAAAATGGGTTGAGGAGCCACAAATTCACACTGGTCCATCCCCTTGCCTGACTCACGTGGTTCTGGACTCGGAAGTCAGAGAGTGAGGCCATCAATCTATCCAGCTCTAGGGTAGCCGAGGTGGCTGAAGTCTTTGGGAGAACAGGGGATGGGCTAGAAGGGCTGTGAAGAACACTACTTGTATCAGCTCAGAGCCTCCCAGAGTAATGCTCACTCCAGTAACTCAGGCATCCAAGACCAATCACCTCTCTCCCAGCCCTGCCAACTATACCAAACTCACAGGCTGGGCCGTTTCTTGTCCTCAGATTGGTCCTCCTTCAGCTCCCCTGCAGTCTCCTTGCTAGATGGGAACTGAGACATTATTTCATCTGCAGAGAGGACAAAAGGGCACTGGACATAGGGCCATGCTCTACCCACCCTCCCACTTAAGGCTTTGTGTCCTTTTAGCTTCTACTCTGAGAAATCTACACCCCTTAATTAAGGACTATACCCCATCCCATCAAGGCCTATCTCAGTAACCTTGGTACCTGTGATGTTGAACTGAGTAGCATTAAGTTCCTGAAGCAACCGGTCTAGCTCACAGAGCCCCGTGCCCAAGACACCGCTGGAAGAGGAGAATGGAGGGGCCGCAGGGGCTGCAGGCTTGGGGGACCGAGGCTTGCATACCGTACTGGGAAACAGGGTGGGAGCTGAGGTTCAGGGGTGGGGATTCCAAGCCTCCTCTCGATTGGCTTCCCCAACCCCTAGTTCCCACGTCCCTTACCTGTACAGATGGTCCTTGTCCTCAGAGGCTCCTGAAGACTCCCCTGGCCCCATCTACAGAGAGAAGGACTCATGTATAGGATAATAGATCTGTACTTTGCCTTACTTAAGCCTAGATTCCCCTAGCCCTGGCCAAGACTGGCCTTAGTGGTTGCCCCGGTACACAGCATCTGATCTCACCTGTGGCTGGCCATAGGACAGGGGAGATGCGAGGGGCTCTGGGGTCCGCTCTTTTGGAGCTCCTGACCTTGGCATGTGTGAGGTGGTGGTTTCCAGGTCAGACAGCAGGGCATCTGCAGGGAGAGGCCATCAGGGTGAGAGGTTGAAAGGTCAAGGTTAGGGTAGAGACAGGGTTTTAAGTGGGCAGTATTCGGGGAGGATGGAAGCCAGTATTAAGAGCCCGGGTCAGGAATCAGAAAGAAACACAAGGCCAGACCAAGGCAGAGAAGTGGAGGGCAGCAAGAAATGTTTATGACTAGAACATCCCAAATGGCTCATCCTGAGAGTCAGGCACAAACCCATCCACTTTTTTATTTTCCAAATCTTCCCTAATGCAGTCAGAATTAGCTCTTTACTGGAGCCAAAGCTGGCTCCATCCCAAATTGTTCAGTTGGCTATATGCCTAGCACCCAGCTTTCTGACTGGACGCTCTTTTTGCCATGCCCAGTAATTCCTCCTCTCCCCTCCCCTGTCC